TATGGTTTATGTAAAATTAAGAAATTATTTTAAGCCTTATATCTCAAAAAGTACTTAATAAAAAGGTACTTAATTATAGTGTTTTGGAAAGCTCTCGAGATAAGCTACAAGAATATGCAATGAAAAATAGGGGGTTCCATTTAAGATTTGAAACTTGTCCCCCCTCACCGCCCAGGGGGAGGGGTGGGAGGGCTGATTTTAACGTCATTGTACGTCCCCCTCGAAATGACGAAATTTTGATTCTAACCATTTTTTCGTAGTGTGCTTATTTTTCGAGTTATTTGGCTGCCTAAGTTAAAATGGGTCACCCTGTAAATATATACAGTGATGGGAAAAAGTTCCGGGACGGCTGGATAATTTGAAAAATACGCATCACAGAGGAAAATGACCTAGACAAAAGTTGTAGGATTTTTCCCGGGCAATCCGACGGTGACCTTAGATTTGACCTTGGATAGTCATTTGAAGGTCACATAAAGATTACCTTCAATTTCTTAAATGGAACTCTCTATTTTTCATTGCATATTCTTGTAGCTTATCTCGAGAGCTTTCCAAAACACTATAATTAAGTACCTTTTTATTAAGTACTTTTTGAGTTATAAGGCTTGAAATAATTTCTTAATTTTACATAAACCATAAAATATCTAGTAAACCATTCATTTTTCGATTATCTTACCTTCATACTTTTATGTACAAAATAATGAGAGGAATCAATTGGTGTAAAGAAAACATACAGTTGTTTTTAAGAAAAAATATGGAATTGTTAATTGCAAATTACATATTTTTTCTTAGAAACAACTATGTGTTTTCTTTACACCAATTGATTCCTCTCATTATTTTGTAAATAAAAGTATGAAGGTAAGATAATCGAAAAATGAATGATTTACTAGATATTTTATGGTTTATGTAAAATTAAGAAATTATTTCAAGCCTTATAACTCAAAAAGTACTTAATAAAAAGGTACTTAATTATAGTGTTTTGGAAAGCTCTCGAGATAAGCTACAAGAATATGCAATGAAAAATAGGGAGTTCCATTTAAGAAATTGAAGGTAATCTTTATGTGACCTTCAAATGACTATCCAAGGTCAAATCTAAGGTCACTGTCGGATTGCCCGGGAAAAGTCCTACAACTTTTGTCTAGGTCATTTTCCTCTGTGATGCGTATTTTTCAAATTATCCAGCCGTCCCGGAACTTTTTCCCATCACTGTATATATATATATATATATATATATATATATATATATATATATATATATGTGTATTATATTATATTTTATATATATATATATATATATATATATATATATATACAGGGTGAGTCATTTTAATCAATACACTCGAATATCTCGAAAACAGCACTCTTCAGAAAGAAATGTTTCAAACAAAAATTGTAGGGTGTGAAGGGGGACATAAAATGGTAGCATTGGTTTGACCTTGGAAAGTCATTTGAAGGTCACATAAAAGTCACCTTCAATTTCTTAAATTGAACCCACTATTTTTCATTACATATTCTTGTAGTTTATCTCGAGAGTTTTCCAAAACACTACAGACAAATGTTTTTTCATTAAGTACTTTTTGAGTTATAAGGCTTCAAAGTTTGCAGTATTCGATATAAAATGCAAAATATCTCGTAAAATATTTAGTTTTCGGTAGTCTTACCCTAATACTTTTATGCACAGGATAATGAGACAAAACTATTGGTGCAAAGAAAACGTATGATTGTTTATGATAAAAAATGTGTAATTTGCAATGCACTTTTTGTTATAAACAATCATGCGTTTTCTTTGCACCAATAGTTTTGTCTCATTATCCTGTGCATAAAAGTATTAGGGTAAGACTACCGAAAACTAAATATTTTACGAGATATTTTGCATTTTATATCGAAGTACTGCAAACTTTGAAATCTTATAACTCAAAAAGTACTTAATGAAAAAACATTTGTCTGTAGTGTTTTGGAAAGCTCTCGAGATAAGCTACAAGAATATGTAATGAAAAATAGTGGGTTCAATTTAAGAAATTGAAGGTGACTTTTATGTGACCTTCAAATGACTTTCCAAGGTCAAACCAATGCTACCATCTTATGTCCCCCTTCACACCCTACAATTTTTGTTTGAAACATTTCTTTCTGAAGAATGCTGTTTTCGAGATATTCGAGTGCATCGATTAAAATGGCCCACCGTGTATATATTTTATATAAATATTTTAAATATAATAGGTCCTTATAGACGCGCTGCAGCCGTTTTTTACAGGCTCACAGCAGACGCTTTTTACAGGTACACAGCAGCCGCTTTTTACAGGAGCACAGCAGCCTTATATCGGCGCGCAGCAGCCGCTTTTTACAGGCGCACAGCAGCCTTTAAAAAAAAAATAACCCACTTCCCGAGCTCTTCGTCACTACCACTGAAATAATCTGAAATAATGATAAACAATAATCTATAATAATCACCAATAATTTACAAAGTAAAATGTAAAAAAAGTAAATATAGAAATATAAAAAGTATCTGTTTGAACTATACCAAAATATTATCCAAAATAGAACTATACTTATAGCCACACTTTTTTATATATGATTTTTATCGAAAACTTATAAAAAGTGCATATATAAAATATTAGTTTGTTTTTATTTTACAAAATCTTCTAAAATGTATGATTAAAATATTGATTAAAAATTCTTTCATTTTCTAAAAAAAGATATTAAATGCTAATATATACGCTAATTGTACATATGACTAATTGTGTGTCTACAAATAAATATACGTTTAACTTTTGAATAATATATCTAGATATTTCAAAAAAGTAATCATCCTACAATACTTTTTTACACATCTAATTTAGATATTAATTTAAATAGTATCTATTTATGATAAATAAATCGATAAAAAATGCATATTAAAAATGCATATGCTTTTATAGCAAGATATTTCAAAAAGTAAAGTTTAATGTCACAAAAATTAATGTGATTATCTGCTTAAAAATTTAAAAACAATAATTTCACTTCTTTATAAGTAAGCATACATATACAAACATTTAGCAGAATTTAAATTGGATTAATATCTTTGAATCATATTTGTTAATTATAATTTGTATTTTTACTTTTTATTTTTATTTTTTGACAGATTTTATTATTGTTCAATATATTTAATTAGGAAACTATTTTTTGGCAGATTTTTCTATTTTTCAAAATATGAAATATCTTATATATATAAGATCATGCATTAATGATTTATTTATAATAAATAAATAAATATTATTGAAATAGACAAAAATATTATCAAGAATGGAACTATACTTATAATCATACTTTTTTATATCAAATTTTTGTCGAAAATTTCCCAAAAGTACATATTTACCAATATTTACAATCTTGGTTTGACTTTGAACGAAAGCTTTCAAAATGCATATTTAAAATATTGATATTTAAAGATTATTTTACTTTACAAAGAAAGATATTAAATGTTAATATATACGCTAATTGTACTTATATGACTGTGTATGTATAAATTTACGTTTAACTACTAAATAATATTTCTTTAATCATATACGAGTGAGTTTTATTTTCTGTGTTAATCTTTATATCATGCGGGAAATTATCGACTGCATAATAAAATGATCGGTACATAAATGTCAATTATTTAGATCGTATCAGATGCTAGAATATAATGTGTAAAATTTAATTTAATTAAAAGCTGAAGTATGGATTTATTATTATTGTTATTATTATTAAAACTACACATTTATTTTTATATTATTATACACATTATATTCTAACCTTTGATACGGTCGTTAAAAAGAATTGATATTTATATACCGATCAATTTATTATGCAGTCGATAATCTCCCGCATGATAAATAAAAAGATTGACACACGAAATAAAATTCAACCTGTATATATATATATATAGATATGTGTATAGGGAGATATATATATACAGGGTGACCCATTTTAACTTAGGCAGCCAAATAACTCGAAAAATAAGCACACTACGAAAAAATGGTTAGAATCAAAATTTCGTCATTTCGAGGGGGACGTACAATGACGTTAAAATCAGCCCCCCCCACCCCTCCCCCTGGGCGGTGAGGGGGGGCAAGTTTGAAATCTTAAATGGAACCCCCTATTTTTCATTGCATATTCTTGTAGCTTATCTCGAGAGCTTTCCAAAACACTATAATTAAGTACCTTTTTATTAAGTACTTTTTGAGTTATAAGGCTTGAAATAATTTCTTAATTTTACATAAACTATAAAATATCTAGTAAACCATTCATTTTTCGATTATCTTACCTTCATACTTTTATGTACAAAATAATGAGAGGAATCAATTGGTGTAAAGAAATCACATAGTTGTTTCTAAGAAAAAATATGTAATTTGCAATTAACAATTCCATATTTTTTCTTAAAAACAACTGTATGTTTTCTTTACACCAATTGATTCCTCTCATTATTTTGTACATAAAAGTATGAAGGCAAGATAATCGAAAAATGAATGGTTTACTAGATATTTTATGGTTTATGTAAAATTAAGAAATTATTTTAAGCCTTATAACTCAAAAAGTACTTAATAAAAAAGTACTTAATTATAGTGTTTTGGAAAGCTCTCGAGATAAGCTACAAGAATATGCAATGAAAAATAGGGGGTTCCATTTAAGATTTCAAACTTGCCCCCTCTCACCGCCCAGGGGGAGGGGTGGGGGGGCTGATTTTAACGTCATTGTACGTCCCCCTCGAAATGATGAAATTTTGATTCTAACCATTTTTTCGTAGTGTGCTTATTTTTCGATTTATTTGGCTGCCTAAGTTGAAATGGGTCACCCTGTATATATATGTATATATGTATATATATATATTTTCCTATATACATATCTATATATAAAAATACATACTTTTCTTTATTTCTTCTTCCTTCTTCTCCTTTTTAATTTCTCTTAACCTTCTTTGCAATCTTCTGCTATTATATATTTATCTTCCTCAGATAACACGAATGAAATAAGTCACAGTAAACTTGACAGTTAATCAATATTGCGGAAAGATGAAAAAAATGCAGTTATTACCATAGTTACCACATTTTATATTAATTTCGAGCCAGTTCTTATATATTTGACTAAAAATAAGAGAATTTAAAAAATAAAAAAGTTTGAACTGCCGAAAAAGCCGCAGGAAGCACACACTAAAATGCAAATTGTAAGTACGAATTTTTATTATCTTTATACAAATACATACATACTGACGCACACAACCAAATATACGTAGGCACGCACATGCACGCACACACACACACACACGTTCGCACAGACAAATACACACGCACACGCACGTTCGCACGCAATGCAAATGCACGTACGCATACATTCACGCACACACGCATACATTCACGCACACGCGCACGCATTTACGCATGCACGCACGCAACATATACGCACGCACACAAACAACAGGCATTTCAAATGCACATATACATTCACACGAAGAAAGAACACACATGCACGCACGCACACACACACACAAACACACACGCAAGCCCGCACGCATGCACGCACGCACACAAACACACACGCAAGCAATACACACGCACGCAACGCATTTCAAACGTACATATACATTCACACGCAGAAAAAACGCATATGCACGCAAGCACGCACGTTCGCACGCGCACGCACGCATTTACGCAGCCACGCAACATACACACACACACACACACACATGCACGTGTGCCCGCAGAAATACACACGCACGCGCGCGCGCGCACACACACACACACACACACACACATCCAAAACACACATATACATACACACTTAGAAAGAATGACAAAAAAATATTAAATTATAATTTTTTTAGGAAAAAAATTTAGAAGAAATAAGTCTCGCCATCGAAAACGAAGTATTAAAAGTAGAATTGGCAGATTTACAAAGGCAATTGGCAGCTGCGAGCCTAAAAATTCAGCATCAAGGGCAGCTTCCACCCCAACAAACAATGAAAACACCGCAACCGCCACAATCTCCACAACCTCCGCAACCTCCACAATCTTCGCACCCTCCACAACCTCCACAATCCAGCACAAAAAATGAAGCATCCAAAATGTCTCCGGAGAAAAATAAATGTTAGTATAAAAGTTCATTTGAAGAAAAATATTAAATAATAATAAAAAAAAGTATTAATATATAGTAAATAATAATAATAAAATAATAATAATTAAATAAATCAAATAATAAATAAATAATAATAACAAATAATCATAAGAAATAATATAATAATAAATAAATAATAATGAAATAATAATAATAAATAATCAATAAATAAAGAATAATAATAATAATAAAGTAAATATAGTAATAAATAATATTAATAAATTATAATATTCGAATATAAAATATAATAGTAATATTACTAATAATAATAAAATAGTAATGAAAGCAACATTAATAATATAGGAGTAATGATAAAAATATTAATAATAATAAATATAAGTGAAATTTATGTAAAGAAATTTATAAAAATATAATTAAATATAAATAGTATAAATAATATAAATAATATAAAATAATATAAAAAATATAAATAAAAGAAATAATAATAAAATATAAATAACATAAAAAAAATAATAAAAATAAAAATATATAAATAGAATATATAAATACATAAATAAAAATATATAAATTTATAAATAAGTAAATAAATAATAAGAACAACATTAATAATATAATAAAAATGAGAGCAATATTAATAATATAATAGAAATAATAATAGTATAAATAGAAGAAGTAATAAAAATATAAATGATATAAATGAAAGAAATAATAAAAATATAAATGTATATAAATGTATAAATACATAAATCAAATGTAAATACATAATCCTTTAACATATATATTAATTAGTAATTATTAATTTTTAGTAAAATATAAAACTGCACGATGGAATCGAGGAGGTCGTGGACGAAATCGTGGACGTGGAGGAGGAAGAGTAACATTATATTTTAATATTTGGTAAAGTATACAAATAAATTTAATAATTTATTAATAACCTATATATATATATATATATATATATATATATATATATATAATATATATAGACGATTTTTCCTCAGCAAAAATATCGATGAAGGCCATCATTTTTTGCATGTTCCCAATTTTTGTCATCATATATCGTTGCAATTAAACCTTAAATTAAAACTCAACTAAAGTAAACTATTTAAAATTAATTGAAGAATGTGATTTTGTTAATATTTTATTTCTACAAAGTTTAGTTTACGAAAAACCTCTTATTTCCAATTACTTATAATTCGAAAATTATTAGTGTTTCGACATTTTCGTTGAGGAAAAATCGTCTTCAGATGATCCCAGGAATCTGTCTTTGAATGATTGATTATAAGTTTTGAGACACACTGTATCAATATATATATCTTTAAACTTTGTTACAGATGTGTTGATCCCAAGCAAAAGCTGCATTGAAAAAACGTTAGAGAAGATTACAAAAAAAAAATAATTCAATAATGTTAATGTTGCTTTTTTATGTTAATAATTCAATAATGTTAATGTTACTTTTATGTGTTAAATATGTTATTATATATATTATACTTTACTTTATGTAATACTTTATTAAACTAAAATAAATATGTTAATATTACTTTTATATATTAAATTTTATATATAAATATATATAATATTTTAAAAACAATTAATCTATTTATTATATATTTATTATATATTATTTAATTTTTTATTTAACTTGATATTACTCAAAATGCGATTCATTTTTTTTAATTTAATGTTATTTTTAATGCTACGTGTCACATGTCATCATTAATCATTAATATATGTCATATGTCACTAATGATCACTAATGACATGTCATTAATATGTATATGTATATATATTATATATATATACATATATATATATATATATATATTGTGACGTGGCCGTCACGTCGCGTACATCCGCCCCGGCAATCTTGACGGGGCGCGGGCCGAGTGGCCGCGTCAAGGGTCAAGAGAGAGAGAGAACTATCGCGCTCCCCGGAGAGACGAGCGAATTAGTGTAATTGCGTGTAGTATTAATTCCTTTTTTTTATTTTGTATCATCGTCGGCTTGAGGCGCCTCACCATCGAACACCGAAGAACAGGGGAGAGCATCATCACCTCCCCGCGACAGCTAAGGACGACAGCCGAAGGGAAACTCATAAGAGCCGAGGATCCTGGCCCAGGGAGCCCTGCATCATGAACCCGGGCAGGGGAGAGCCGCATCGCCTCCCCACGATTGCCGGAAGCGACAGCCGTTGCGACAGCCATTCTCCAGGGGAGGATACGTCCGTGAAGGACCGCACCCGGGCCATATAAGGGCCCGCAACGGCATTCAAGTTTGGCGCTATTTCGCGCGGGGCGCGATAAGGCGTCGCGTGGCGCGCGAGGTGCCAGGACCTCGCGCGTGTCGGCCGCTAATTGGCCGGGGGTCCGCGCATCCCCCTGCGCGGCCAACGACCCCGCTATCGACCCTGGATCGAGAGATCCAGGGCTCACTCTTTCGCGGCCGCTCGACTCGTATAGGCAGCAGCATATTGTATTCCGTGTTGTCGTGTGAGCTCGAGGACGAGACGAAACTTGGAGGACGAGGCCGAGGATCATCCCCGCAACCGGAGGAGCTCCGTCGGTGAGGTTGCCCACGTTATTTTGGTACTCCGCGAGCGTGATCGTGTCCGCTCGCCGGCCGTTCTGTCGCCGTCGCCATTACGGCTTATCGCGACCGCTCGAGCCTTCTGCCGAGTCGGTCGATTTTGTGTATTTCGGGCGACCGGAGACAAGCGACCGAGAAAGCGCGGACACTAGTGACGGAAGTGTGTATCGTAGGGTAATTCTCGTCTCTCTCCGGGTATCAGGGTGCGTAATACGCGTAGCATTCGACCATCGGGTATCGACCGCGTGCGTCGTAAATCGCGAGAAATGCGTAGTTCGTACGGGCTGTCGTTTGGTTGTCGAAGCCGCGTCTCGCACCTCTGAAAAGTGTCTCAGAGCGAGTCTGTGGAACGTAATTGGTCGTGATTAATGAGTTTTCGTGTCGTCTCATTGTCGTTCGTGAAATGGCGTGAAACTGCGTACTATTGTCGCGTCCGTTGTGTGCGTGTGAATTGTTCGTCTCGAAAGGAGAAACGTAATTCCTCGAAATTGTCGCGGTGTGCGGGTATCGCACGATTCTAAGTATTGAGATCTGAGATCAGGAAATTCCTGGCGAATATCGCGGCTATCGAAGGAGGCGCGGTGCGGGACTGTCGCCCGGCCTTCCTTCTTTCCTTGATACGAGAAGATAATTAATTCTCACGCTGTCGAAGGTATCGGGGTGTGTAACACGACATTGTCGCATCGCCCCGATTGCCAGAAATATTTAAGTTGCGAGCGTCGCCGAAAAAGGCGGAAAAATCTCCGACCGCCGCCGGCTATCGAACTTCGCCGGTATCGTCCGCCCATCGTATGCGAGATCTCTCTTCGCGGAATTCATATCTTGTCGCTTATTGCGTAGCTGACCGGCTAGCTTATTTCTGGGTTGTCGACCCCGAGCACGCTCGGAGGAAATTGCTAGATACGCAGCTAATTAGTAGGATCTCCGCGAGGCTGTCGAAACTGCGAATTATAGGCTGGTATTATCTCTCTCTCTCGCGTAAGATACGACCGATACTGAGAATTCGAATTATCAAATTCAGTTACATCAATTATTGTTCTCCGGAGCTTCGACTTTAGGAAGCCGCCGTAACAGACGTTCTTTGTTAGACCGACCGAGAATATCGCGCGATTTTCGAGCGTTTCGAGAATCATTGTCCGTTCATGTCTAGTATGTTATTTCTGTTTTCATTCTGTAGCGATGTTTACTTCTTTTTGTTAATCACCGTTCTGATTATTTACGTGCTTAATAAACCTGTTATTTTCTTATTTATTAAATCTCGCGTTCTTTATTTGACTGGCGATCGTCCGTAATTTCTGTGTTCGTCTTTGTCTGTTAATTTAGTAAGCTCGCTCAATCAATTCACTTTTTCTTGCAAACCCCGCCCCTCTACCGTTAGGCGAGCTAGCCAGCCCGGGGCGAAGCGGGCTGTCGTATTCTTTCGCGTTTTTCGAAGAATTCGTGAAACTGGTACGTGAGAGACCGTACCTGGCGCCCAGTTCTGAGGTAACGAGACGGCCTTCGCTCCGCCGCGGCTCGCGCGCGGACAACCTCCATCCCTGTCCCGCCGATCGCGAGTACATAAAACCCTTGTGTTTTTGACGGCGCTTCCGCTCCCCCGCGAGAATCAAAATTTAGAATTGAAAAAGCGTCGCAATATATATATATATATATATATATATATATATATATATATATAATCGATATCGAAAAGCGTCGCTAGCGCAATCTTCTGTCAAAAGTAGGAAAAGGACGTTTTCTCTTTCTATGTGTTGTGTACATGTGTGTCGATGACGATGACCACGATAAAGACGTTTCTTAATTGAAAATTTTCATATTTTGACTTTGATTATGATATCTCCGTTAATAGATCACGCAGCGCAAAAATAAAGATACTTTCTTTATACAATTCAAACTCGCTCTATCGATTAAGACTAGTAAGAATTCGATCCGTTCAGCCGTTAATGAAATCCGATAATCTAAGTTACTTTCAACTGTCCGACTCGGGTATAGATACACCTCCGTGCACTCCTGCCGCGCAATGCTTCGCATGAACTTGGCGCGAGACACTACCGTGTCTCTTAATAATATTATCATATCGCGACTTTGCGAGCAGACAAGCGGTACGAAACTTTAGAATAGGGACGTATTATCGCTTTACCAAAAACGCGTCGTAAGACAAAAGTATGCATGTTCCATGCAATTAGCACGATATAATGCGTCAACCCCGATCAAATGGTAATTGAATGAAAACGAACGGTAATTGAACGGTCATCGAACGGTTATCGAACGGAAACGAACGGTCATTGAACGGTCATCGAACGCCCCGTCGAATGGAAACGAACGGTAATTGAACGGTCATCGAATGCCCGTTGAGCAGAAATGAAGGGTAATTGAACGGTCATCGAACGCCCCGTTGAACAAAAACGAACGGTCGTCGAACGGAAATGA